GTACTCAGTTCTCGCTCTGCCGCGGCCGCCGGCTGGACGGCCGGCCCTTCTGGGTCCGTGCAGCCGCAGATGAAAGCTCGCCCCTTCGCGATCTCCAGGGCAATGCCTGGACCAGACCGTCCCGGTGAATGTTGGCTACGTTATCGTTTGGATGAGTGCGCCGTAGGTGCTAAATAGTTTTCTTAATATAACACCCATGACTATTCACGGTGAATGTATTGTAAACGCAAGCAATAAAGACGGCACACATTTCGCATCACCAAAGTTAATTTCTACTCTGATACTACTTTTTGCACTAAAAGGAATCATGTTGCACGTGAACTTCTGTACATGGTTATTTGCTTTTCACAGAATCTCGAGAAAACGTTTCCGGTAAATATTCATTTACAAAAATTGTTGGGCAGCCCCCTGGGGTCCCCTCCCACTCTGGGAGTTTTTCTGTCCTCTCAATAAATCCTGTTTTTTTAAAAAAACTGTTTGCTGTGATACTTTTTGCTCAGCCTGCCCTAGGAGTCTTATTCTGGGCCCTGACTCACATTAGAAGCCGGCGGGGATCCTTTACCAATCCTTGTACCTGGTCTCACCGCTGGAGTGTCTGATTCAGGTAATGAAAACAACAACAATTAAAACAAAAAGAAAAACAGAAACACCTCAGGTGACTCCGATGTACAGACTGAGCTGAAAAACCACCGAGTGGCATTTCTCAGCTTTGCTGGGCCTCTAGACCTACAGAAAGCCACAGGATTTTCGCCAGCCATCAGTGCCACCCAAGTTTGGAAAATCTGGACTGCACTAAACAATGTCAGCTCAAGAATTATCGAGTTAAGCACTACCTTCATTATTTATTTATTTATTTTGAGTTGGAATCTCACCCTGTTGCCCAGGCTGGAGTGCAGTGGCACGCTGCTCACAGACATGCAGCCTCGACCTGCTAGACTCAGGCCATCCTTCCTTCTCAACCTTCCAAGTAGCTGGAACTATAGGCGAGCACCACCACGCCCGGCTATTTGTTATTTATTTATTTATTATATAGTTGAGATCTCTCCAAGTTGCCCAGACCAGTCTCGAATCTCTGGTCTCAGGCAATCCTCTCGCCTCGGCCTCCACCTCAATCCTTAAGGAAAATTAAAGATAAATTGCTGGGTCAATGGGTATGATGTGTACTGAATTTGAAGGCATCTTCAATTTACTGCTAGATGGCCCCCTAGAAAGATTCTGCCAATTAACATTCCTAAAAGCAGCAAATATAATTTGGTAACTTGAGAAATTGATTCAAATTAGCTTGAAATACTGTCATTAATTTTTTATTATAATAAACTTTATTTTGTTTGAGCCACTTCACATGGCGGGGTCTATTTGTTGCAGCAATTTACCTACATTACTCAGGTGTGGCTCTAGATTATGGTTGCCTAGAGGGCTAGACGTTTTCCCAACTCGGTCCAGGTACTGGCAGGTTAGAGATTATTGCGGTTTTTTGGGCTAGAGGTACCAATACATCCTGTGATGACAGTGGGACTGCTTGTGACCCTGAACACATGCAGGTAAGACAGTAGTATCTTTGGTCACAAGTTTTTAACTGCTAATACTAGAAGGAATGTACATATCTATATTCAGAGATCTTTGTACTAGGAGAATGAGGTGCCTTTAGGAGTCAACTTTTACTCATGAGATTAGCTGATTAATATCACTAAGAGGATGGCAAAGATTCCCAATCAGTTGATTTAATTTGAACTGCTGGTCAGTCTAGAAGATTGAGCTCCCAGGTAAGTGCTGCCATGGATGGACTCAACATGTCAGTAGTGAAAGAAATTTTGGGGGCGCCCAGTAACGACTCCACGCCGTCTGAACTGAGAGATTTATTAAAGGGGCAGTTACACGAAGGGACTG